AACAATTCCTAACGTGTCCGTAAACATAAAGTATATTCTGTACAAACTTTACATTTTGTCACCTCTGATTACTCAGCCTCTGTTGTAGCTGTGCTCTTTCAGTGGGAGAAGACTGTTGAAATGAGAGGCGGGCAGTTTCAATAATTTCAAGATTTCTCTAAAATAAGTTGTGGTTGGTGGACACACTGAATTGAACACCGACTCACAACTGTGTGCGTGTGTGTGTGTGCTGTAGTTCATTGCATGGTCGTCTGTGACATGACCACACATCATAGATTTTTTTTTTTTCAGTTCATACATTGCAATCTTCCTCACGGGAGTGCACACCAATTTGCCTCAGATCTGTCAATCTCCCAAAATTTTTGCAGAGTGGGAAAACTAAAACCAAAAATGACTGGGAAATGTAGTTACACAACCTAGTAACATACTTCAATACCGTGAATCACAATGTACACAGACAAATGCGTAGCAAAGCATGCTGGGTATTCCGAATCAAAATATGACCTGTATATTGAAACTTATGGTAGTGCTTATCTAAACACATGTCCTTCTTCATTAATTGCCTTTCGCTGTGTTGCAAACAACTGGTTGCATTACAACTACCTTATATTGCAAGCAAGACCATCTCCACTGTTTATATGGTTTAAGCATTTTCCTGCTCTCGGACCGACACTGGCATGCACTGGTTGATATTAATGTCTTCACAGAGGCCATGCTAGCAGTCACAGCATGCAGCCGTATTGGCTCAGGCCATTACCAGCCCCCAGTTCCTGTGTGAACCACCTAGTCAGTACAGGCTTGTTTAGAATCACTTACAGCTTTTAACCAACGTCAGGTTACTGTTATTTAAAATCTAATCTCAATTTTCTGTCTGTCAAGAAATGCCCTGTCAAGCTTTCCCTGCCGGTTTTCTTCTTGCTGCCTCGCCAGTGAAAGGTGTTGAGTGATTGTGGGACAAAGGCTTTCCTGGATGGCCTTCAGGCTTTCCTGTATTGTGTATGTACTGGGCTTTCTTGCCTCCCAGGTGTCCTTTAATCTCTTGAACTGGTGTCATAATAGCCACAACCTCTTGTTGTCTGCCCATGAAGTGCTATTGTTGAAATGACTTTTCTGGAGCTTTGGCTCGTTTCCCTTATTGTTTCACACAATTGCATATTGATTTATCACACTGAAATGCACTTAGTTGATTTTCAAAGTCAATATTTTGAATTATAAGAGAAGATGGCAGTCAATGAAATGGATTTGATTATACTCAGAAAGCTTCCTTGTTGCAGTCAGAAACAAATCACCAAAACAAACCTGGACAGTTAGTGCTCATCCAAGTGTGGTTGTAGGCTTTTGTAAATTGTAAATGGAAAAGAATGAAAAGGACTTCTCCCACTGTGGCTGCCTGACATGCTGTTGGAGCTGTGCCAGCAATAAAAGGTGCAGAAATAACCCTAAAAATAATAATAATCCTCTCTGCTTGCAGTTACAGTTGAGGCCACATGTAGGTGAATAAACAACTTTGTAGGTTACCGATTTGCTAGACTATCCAAAAAGTGATGGGACACCCCAATGAGATACCGAGAAGACCCTTAGTCGACCAAGTTTTCATTGGTCGGTTTGTCGCTGAAAAAGTGAAACCTCAAACTCCATTTGGTTAATTTGTAAGTAACATTATACATCATCCATCATGTCCACGAGAATTGCACACGCCATCCATCAGTCGGACTTTTATTTTGAACAAGACTTGATGTCATACTGTTGAAATAAATGAACTAAATGTTCAGTATCCTTGCATTCATCTGGGTAATTTCTTTACAGCAGGAATTAGTGAGAAATGAGAAGGCTCAGAAATGAATTATATACTCACTGATATCCTGTTTCTCATGTCATTCTCTCTATCTTCAGTCTCCATTTTCCCTGTTTTGGGGAGTTTTTTTGTATTAAATGTCCAATCTGTAGTCTCACTTTGGTTAAATGCTTTAAAAGAGCTTCTGTAATTATAATTCTATAATATAAGCTTCTGCAATAATTGTGCAGTCCACCTCCTTACTGTAGTCTCTGTGATTTTGCTGAAAGCAAGTTATTGATGATGTGGCAACATGTCAGATGATGATCAAAAGCCAGTAAGTGTTCCCTGATGTCACTTGAGGGCGCAGATGCACATCCATCAGTCAGTAAAGGATAATCCTTAACATGACGCAAAAAACAAGGCTTATCATGTCATTATTGACTGTGTGAGGAACGCTGAGTAAGACGTCCTTGAAACAAAGCAAACAGTGTCAGCGAGGAGGAATTCTGAAGGGGAGCTCTCAGTGCAATGAAACAAGCACAGTCTGTGATGAAAACACCAATTTTGGCACCAGCGTCACGTCTGACTCACTTGTGCCTCCCTCGCCAACAACTGAATAGTTAATGAAACGTATCCTTCCCGAGAGGGCTGGGTGCTAGACAAATCTGGGTTTGTTATCACTGCAGGGGCTGTTGGAAGAGCAAGGAGTGCTCAGAGAAAGGGGTCTGTACTTTCTTCTCTCTAATCTCTTTCCACAAGGAGCTCTGCACCTGCCAGTAAGCAACCTCTACCCTCAGGACTCGACACACTCTTCTTTTTACTTTCTTCTACGTCTGTCATTTCCCTTTTATAGAAAAAAATTTTAAAAAAATTTCAAACATTTCAAACCTTCTCAAGTGTCTCATGGCATAAATGCTGTTTTTTAGCCTCTCTCCACATGAAATGTGTCTGGAACCTTTTTAATGTGACATTGATCATTAGCTGTGTCAGTCCAAAGAACAGGGGTGCCCCCAGTACCTCACCTGCTGGAGTGTGTACAGAGCACGTCTCTTTACAGTCACAGGGTTTCCATCTGTCCTGGAAAATCTCTAAATTTAGCTACTTTTTTTCCAGTCATGGAAACACCTGGAAATTAAACTCGACTGCTGGTAGGATAAACTTCTGTAGGACACTTCAAAACCAGTTTACCAGATGCACAGCGGAACAGACTTACAGCAATCTTTTTGCAGTCAAGTTAATTTTTTCTGGAGCTGCGAGCAGAATTCTCAGAGAAACCCAATATAAATGCTATAGATGGTCATAGCCAAATGCATGCAGCTTATTAAAGCTGCAGTAGGTAACTTTTATAAGAATACATTTTTGTCATATTTGCTGAAACTTCCATTATAACCTGACAGTAGTACAGGAAACAGATAATCTGTGAAGAAATCAAGTTCCTCTGGCTCCTGTTGGCAAGAGTCAGGGCCTGAATGAAAACAACACTCATATTTGCTGAAACTTTCACTATATGCTGACAAAGTTATTTCTATAAACTTACTTAACTACTGCAGCTACAATGATAACATTTGTTGTTGTGGTTGATAAATACATGTACAGTGATGCTTATATAATAAACGCTGGCCACCTACCTCTAATGAGGTATTAGTACACTATAGGGGTATCAATCGAAATTACATCTCAATCTCGCCATAGTGGGCTGCTGTCATCATCATGCGGCCCATTTTGTGCAGGAGGCTGATGGAGGAGAAAAATAAAAACACAGCAGAAATGAATTACATTGCCCTCAACAAAACAAGCGCTCCAAAAATAAGCCGGTTCCTGAGCATTGTCAATTAGTTAAATATGACAAAAAATGTTTGCACAATGACCTTTTCTTCCATGACTAAAGACAATGACTTATGACAAGGGCTTAAAAATAGCTTAGTGGGCAGGACAATAGGTGGGAAGATCGAGGGCTAAATAAACTGTTCCAAATATGCCGTTTTTTATTGAACAGCAGAAAAACAAGCTAACCCTTCATAGAAGAAACTCTGGTCTGCCTCTCTTCTCTCTCTCTCTCTCTCTCTCGCATACATATAAGGACATGCCACAGTATTCTTACAGACTAATCCACATCACACAATCTTCTACTCCTTCTTGCAGTGTCTTATTTGTATGTGTGCGTATGTGTCAGGAAGAATTTCTTGCCTGAACACGAGTCCCAAGCTGACTTGACCATTGCATATGCCATCATGCCCGGTCGGTGGGTGGTTGCGCAGGGAAGGCCATGACAGATGGGCCTGAGGGTGACACATTGCACACACAAAAAAAACAAAAAAAACAAGGTAATTCTTTCCAGAATCAGGACACATTTAACCGGTTTATTATAATATCAACACATTTCACTTAGGCAGGTGTGTTTAATTACATTAGAACTAAAATCTACTCAGAAATGTGTCATAAAGTCTTCACATCAGAATTAGTCAAAGTGGCCAATTTCATATTCAGCCTCTGTTTAAACAGGTTTTAACAGTCCAATTTAGGCTGTTCAATACCTTTATGGATGCAAATTAAGACCTATTTTATGCTATGTTATTATGCAAAAAAAAGGTAGGTGGCCTGATTCAATACACATCCCCAAAACACACATGAAACAAGTGTGACAAATGCAACTTTATACAAGTAACTACATAGTAATCTAATACATTTTAAGACACAGAAAAGGTTGTTTAGACTTTTTCACTGCTTCATTCAAAAACTCAGTTGTACTGGTAGCCTGCATATTTTCATTGTAAATCGGAAGAATGCAGTTGAATTGGAGGCGGGCGGGGTGAAGGAAGAAGATGGCAAGATACGGGGGTCTGGAGGAGATTGACAGCCAGGATTCAGCAATGCTTATATTAAATGGCGACATTTTTATTGTCTGATGGGGGAAATTTGTCTTTGACGGCCTCACACGATCAGACTTGTCACAAGTCAAATATGGAACTTATAAAGAACTTCACAAACCATTCATAATTTACGGTACTAACCTAGTGTACTAGGGGGTGTCACGATGTCTCCAAATCCTCGATTCGATTTAATTTCGGATGTTATGTTAACTCACGATTCGATTTTCGATCTTTTTTTAAATATTACTATTAAGGCATTCCTTATATGTTAATTTTACTTTTTTTTGGCATTTTCCTATTTCTATTTCGGGGGGGCTTTTATTTTGAAACCGCTTTTTATTTGAAACAGAACAGGAACAAACATTAAACAGAGGACCGTGACATAGTGAAATGAAACAACAACAGAATGATGATTGATTGTTTCAGCACCACTCCCAAGAGACCCAAGGTTAGTTTTCATGGAATATGTTCTTATCAATGTGCATTATAAGCCTTAAAGTCATTTTGGACTGTAACTAGATCATCTTTTTCCTTGCTCAGTTGAGTAGGCTAAGTTAGTGTTAATTTACGTGAATGAACCGACAGAAATACTTCCACACTGGTGATTTCAGAGTATCCAAGAGGGCTTCGATATTCGGTCGGTTGAAAATATAGAGGAGGTGTTGACGCTGCAGTTCAGCACGTGTGTGGTGCTGTTTTTGCGTCTTGGGCATACATGCTGGACGTGACATTGGGGGTGTGGCTGCATCGTCGATTCTACCTTTGAGTTCGGAAGTT